CCCCAAAACCCCAAAACCCCAAAACCCCAAAACCCCAAAACCCCAGATCCAACTTCCCTCACTGAAATCTCTACTTCACAACCCCCATTACTCCCTTTCTTCCTCCTCATCCTTCTCTCCCCCCTCTTTTACCTGCCCATTCTTCGCCGAAGAGATCTGCCCCAGTACCTTCTCCAGTTCAAAATTTAGCTTCGAGACCTCAGTCCTACAAAATCACCAAGCCACTTACTTCAAAATCTTACGTTGCTCAGTCACTGAGGCAAGTGACTTTTTGAGAGGAGTACTAGAGCCGTTGTGTGCTGGCGAGGGATGATCTATAGAGAGTTATTTGGTTCAGAGATTATAGGTTACCTTGGATTTCTGTCTGTTTTAGTTCTTGTAAGGTGGCCTTTAGTTTGGATTTTGTTGATTGGTGAATAGACCTCTTATGGGATAGAGTAGATAATTCAGTTGAAAGAAGATTTTGTCTTGCTTTATGGAAGGAAATGTCTAAATCTTTGACATTATTCTCCTTCTTTGTATCTATTATTGCCTTCTGTACCTTTAAGACCTGCTCCTTTGATGGAGAAGGTTTATCATTGGCCTTCAATCCCTTGAGTTTTAAAAGGTAAGCTATTGATCCTGAAAGATTGTTGAGTTCATCTTCATACTGTTCGGTTCTCTGTGTTCACTCTCTAAAATCATCCAGAAGCTCATGGATTTTGGCCCTTTGTTCCATTTCTTCAGCTGTCGGAGTGAAGAGTTGTTCTACTGCTTCATACAGGATGTTAATTTTCCTCTTCCACTTGGAATCACCTTCCTCTAGATCACTTCTGGCTTTATCCCTGCTATGTTTTTGGCCGATTAAGGCTGAGCTGAGTTTTTCTGGCTCAAGCTCTACCTGGGTTTTATCAGTATTAATTTTGGTTCTGGAAGGATGTTCAATTCCTCTATCTTCAGTTATTCTTTTAGAGGTTTTCAGTCTGATATCTATTTGAGGTTTATCATTTGGCCTTGTCTCTTCTATTTCTCTTAGCTTTTCCTCTTCTTGTAGTTCGTATTGAAGGATTAGTCTTTCAAGGTTTAAGTTTCTCTCAGTCTGATCTCTTCGTTTTTGGATGATCTGTTGTAATTCAATCTGACATTGAGCATATTCCTTGTCAAGGTTTTCTTGATGCACATTTTTGATATTAATTTCTTCATTGGCGAGCTTCACTTCTGTTTGCTTGTCGTCTAGAATTTCACGAGTTTCAGCAACCTCAGCATCATGTTCATGGGGGTCATCAAGTTGGTTGTCCAACTTGATGACTTCATCGAAGATTCTGGTTGCTTTTTCTGAATCATGAAGTCCTTTGTTAGAAGCTGCTTTGTTTAGCTCTTGTAAATGCTCCTTTTCTAAGGAAAAGATTTTATCGATTGCCATATCAATCTCTGGCTTTTTCTTGTGCCTGAGCTCTTCATCAGTCAACCTTCTCTGAGCTTGCTCAGAGCTCAAAGAAGCTGTTGAGCCAACTGACTTTCTGATTTGAAGATTTTTCTCATTTGCTTCTTCTATATTATGATCAAGGAACTTTATATTAAAGAATCAATATTATGACTAGTCTCCTCGACTTTTTGACAACTTGTAGCATCTCTTTCTTCGCACTTCTGAAGCAAAGCTTCAGCAGTAGAATAGGAAGAGTTACAAGTTTCAAGCTGAGAAAGAGTTGAGTCTTTCTCATCATTAACTCTTTGTATCTGATCAGCTATTTTAGACTCAATGTATGAGTTTTCCCTTCTTTTGATGAAATCTTCATCTAATTCATTAGATATCTCTTGGTGATCCTTAAGAAGGGCAAGCAGTTGATCTATATAAGCTTGCAGCTGATTTTGAGCTGCTGTAAGGCCTTCATTATAAGCCTCGTTGCTCTTAAGCAGAACTTTGGCTTTAGATGCTGGTTTATGCCACTGATACTCAAGTTCAATACTAGGCCTGAATCCAGAGTCAGGGAGAATCTCGTCAGTTGTAGAGTCATCAAGGGCCAGGACCTGGCCTTGCTTGCCTTTCAACCCCTTTAGCATTCGCATGACAATGGATGCTTGTCCATAGACTTGGTTATTCTGAAGATTTTTAAGCGTGAACTTGACCTTTGAATATGGGTTATAGATCAATTTTAGCTGACAGTTCTTATCATTGAGTAGCAGCATATCCACATATTTCCTATCCTGTTGAACAAACACGGCTGCATATTTCTTCTGGAATGAGGAATCAAGTGTATTGAAATCCCAGAGTTTCACAATGATTTCCTTTGGAGTTGAAGTATCCATTTTTATTTTTTATTCTAGTTTGGCATGAAAGTTGGGGTTTTGGGGTTTTGGGGTTTTGGGG